GGGGGGGGGGAGGGAAGCGAGCGAGGGAGAGAGGCACGTCTCAAAGCCAGCAAAGGACTAAGATGCCACACTTCGGAAAGGCTGATTGAAAACAGACTCTTCTTAAGTTTTAGAGGATTTTCTCTCTCACTCCCTCCAAGGGCTAAGAAGCCGATTTGGGAGTTTGAAGGGAATAGGTTTCAGCGTCCATATTTGTTCTGGTGCACTTGTAAAATGCGATTTGAAGAGGATCTTTAGCCCTCTGATTGTCTTTGTATTGTTTTTCTTGAAACGGATCTTTTGCCCTTAATGAATCCCCACACAGCTGGACAGCTCCTGCTCGGACACTGAGAGCGCTAACCCCAAACTGACCCCAATTTGACACCACAAGATGAAATTTTACCGCCTGTTAAAACCATTTCCAGCCTCAGCAAAAGGAGCTGGCTGTTGACTGAGATGCACTTCCATACCGGACACCTCATTTCTCTTTGGACTTTTGAGCTGATCTAAAAAAAAAAAAAAAAAAAAAAAAAAAGAAAAAAGAAAAAAAAAAAAGGAAAAAAAAGCCCAAACACACACGCACACCCCACCGACTCGTCTCTCACACTTTTCCTGGAAGCAGCCTTCGCTGTGAAAGTGATGCACGAGAAATGGAAATCAGCCAATTTAATTTTCCCAAATTACTGCGTTTTAAAAGAAATATGTCACCGGGCTTGGGGGGGGGGGGGGGGGGGGGGGAAAAAAAAAAAAAATTAAAAATGACCGAAGACTGTGGAAGCCCCCACCCCCTGCACGCACGTATCCCATTTTCCTCCGAGTTCCCAACAGCATCTTTGTTAATAGCTGAGTACTTTCACTTAAGGGCGCTAAATTGAGATTCCTTTTTAATGGCTAAACTGTAGCGCTTTATAAACCATGTTCTCTGTGTGCTTTAATCCACTGGGATAGTGAAGAGGAAAAAGGCTTCAACTCTTTTCACGGGGAAAAAAAAAAAAGACACAGGAGGAACATGAAAGCCCTTCATTTACCATATGAAATTTCGCTTTCTATCAAGTTAAAATAATTTTTAAAAGTTGGTCCCTGTCCCAGATTACACACATGCACAGCAGGGTGAGCCAACGCAGGGGGTTAATTAGTTTAGGAGGGGAAAAAGGAAAAAAAAAAAAAAAAAAAAGGAACAAGTGAAAGGAGCAGCATTGAACACTGCAAAAATCTTTGGCTGCTTTTTTTGCAGCTTTGATTTTAGACTGCTTTCTAACAATTCCTTAGTTGAGAGAACTGAGATCTACAGGGAATTCTGTGAAAAAAGAGAATTATGAAAAAAAAATCAGGTCTAAAATTGTAACCTAAGCAATGAAGAGCTTTCTTCTATGGGAGGCAAGTAATCTAAAAACTTCTTTTTGAGAAGAAAACTGATAAACTTCTCCCACAGCTTGAGGTCTGAACAAATACATGGAGCCTTCAATGGAGCTAGATTACTTTTGCACGGCCACGTTACAAGTAAAGACCTCTTCTTTGGTGATACCGAAACTGTTTGAAATGAGACAGACTCGTACGTCTCCAGAGGCAAGGCTCCAGGTTTGCACTGCCTCGGTTAAAAAACAAGTTTGGAAGCTACAAATATTGACTACATCTTTTAAAAAAAAAAAAAATCTGTTAGAAAACTACAGCTGTAAAAGTAGGAAGGGATTTGCATAACCTACTGCTCTGTAGGTCTCCGCGCACCCAAAGGATTAGCCAAGCATTCATTACCATGAATATCTTGAATTACGTTACCGATTTATACGACAGAGTATAAAATACTGCACAAGAAGACTGGCTTTTTCCCTGCGAAATGAATCGACTTAACCACTGCTTGAAAGAGATCTACATACTAAGGGCTTTTTTACTCACCTCTCTTTACAGTCCCGTGAAAGTCAGTCACAGCAATTCTGTTGCTCTTAGGACTAGCTTTAATCTTGGAGGAGATCCTCTAGGAAAAAAAAAAACCGGGTCTGCTCTCCGGCTTCTGGCGGGTTTTACTCGGGGGGCAACTCTGGCTAAAAGTAAAAGAGGGACTTTTCTCCGTATT